CATGTACCTGGGCTGCAGGTTCGATCCCTGACCCGGTTGGGGTCATGCGGGAGACAATCAGTCAATGTGTCTCTCTCAAATCTCTCTCTCTTTCTCTCTCTCCCTCCCTCCCTTCCTCTCTATCCAAAAAGTTAATGGAGCCCTGGCCGGTGCTCAGTGGCTAGAGCACTGGCCTGCGGTCCAGAGAGACCCAGGTTCGGTTCCCGCTAAGGGCACGTACCTCGGTTGCAGTTTGTCCCCGGCCCTGGTTGGGTCGTGTGGGTGGCAGCCACTCGATGTGTCCTTTTCGCGTCGATGTTTCTCTCTCTCTCTTCCTCTCTCTCCCTCCCACTCTACCTGAACAAAAAATTGAAAAATGCCCTCAAGTGAGGATAAATAAATAAATAAATAAAATAAAAAGTCAATGGAGCCCGGCCGGTGTGGCTCAGTGGTTGAGCATCGACCCATGCACCAAGAGGTTGCTGGTTCGATTCCCAGTCAGGGCACATGCCCAGGTTGTGGGCCAGATCCCCAGTGGGGGGTATGCAGGAGGCGGCCAATCGAAGTTCTCTCATTGATGTTTCTATCTCTCTCTCCCTCTCCATTCCTCTCTTTCTAAAATCAATAAAGAAAAAACAATTTTTTTAAAATAAACAGTTAATGGAAAAATGTCCTCGGGTGAGGACTAACAAAATAAATAAATAAATAAAACGACTCAAACTAAACTTTTAAAATCTGTTCTTTTCTCTTATGTTCCAGATTTGCTTTTCTGGTGAGATCACGTGATCTATACTAAATCCACGAGGACTCCTTCCCACCCAGGTCCCAAGCTGAGCAGTGACTCTGACCCAGCTCTGTTGGATCTTCCCTCCGCTCCATTCCCGCTCTCTCGCCCGCCCGAGCTCACACCCTCACACTTGCATGTCTGACATGGTTGTCTAATCAGTCTCCCCTCATTCTACTCCCCCCTACAAACAACTGCCAGATGGGTCCTTCCAAAGCCCTCAGTGGTAACCCACCACTCACAGAGCAAAACCCCTGTCCTCAGCCCAGTACTCAAGGCCCTTCACACTTTGGCCCCACCCTAGCCTTCCAGAGAGAGTCCCGCGACCCAGACTCCTCTCTGCCTTCCCTAATCCCAGGCAGAACCACGTGTCCTTCCCTGATTCTCCCCAGAGCTCCATCCGTTCCTGACTCCAGGAGTTTGCGCACCCTGTTCCCTGACATGGAATTCTCTTTCTTCCATCTTTTCATGTCTGAATCTACTTTCTTCAAGACCCAGTTCAAACGTCCCCTCCTCTGTAACACATTTCCTGACCCACTTGGTTAAAAATAACCTCCCCAGTCCCCGGCATCCCACTTCTATTCGCCTGCTCCTCTCTGCGACACCTCCGTGGGTCTGATTTTCGCATGTACAGTCCCCAAGGTAGAAGACGCCCTGTTTCCCCTACTGAACTGTAAGCTTGCCAAGGACAAGAGGCCCTTCTGAATTCTCCCAGGACCACGCCTAAAAAATAGTAGGTATGTAGTAAATCTGGGATAACTGAATGAATGGTGAAGGGTGGCAAGGTGTTTGAATGGATGGCTTCATGTACTCCAGCAATATTGAAATGAAGGTGCTGTGCCATCAGTGGGTCTGGATTTGGATTTGGAGCAGGGAAGGTGCTCAAGACATAAGGCTAAGGCCAGCATCCCAGAGTAGCAGACCCCACCCCCTCCCATGCCCCCAGCCACCACCCTTGTCCCAGGCCTGGAGGCACAGCACCTAGACCCTGCCCTCAGCCCCTCAGACTGGGTCAGAGGAGGAGCAGCTGTCTTCCCTCCTGTGTCCATAGGGACTGGGCTCCATCCCAGCCCACCACACCTAAGCGAGCACCAAATAGCCAGGTGGATGCAAATGGCCTCATGGGGACCTCCTTCTGAGGGTATAAGTGGCCAAAAGCACTGGACGACAAGTGAGGGAACCTAAATTCCAGCCCTGGCCCTGCTATGAACTAGCTGTGTGACCTTCACTGTCACATTCAGACAAGGGGCAAAATCAGCATTTCCAAAATGCCATTTCACAGGTCCCCAAGCAAGGCATCCACATCTAGGAGGATGCATGCATTAGCAGATCCCGGACCGAAACCTCGCAGACTCAGCAAGGGAGCTGGTGGACTGGATGCTCCCTAGAGGCTTACTCAGGTGCACTGAGCTAGGATCGGGAGCCTGCTGGGGACACAGATTGCAGGGCCTGGCAAGTCTTTGGGGTCTGTTCTTTCCCCAGGACTCCAAGCTCATTTGCTGCAGCAGCCCTCCCCATGGTGGGTCACAGCTGCTGTGGCACACAGCCTTGTTGAGGAAATGACTTCTTTCCAGAAATCACCAGCCTGAGGTGGGTGACGAAGAGGTCTAGGGAGGGCATGCTTCCTGGTGGTCACCATGCACCCTCGGCTCTCGGGGAGGGGTGGGTCCACCCAGCATGCACCAGCCTCTCACCATCGGGACTTTAGAGTGAGGGCCAGAGCAGACTTGCACATCTGCAACCGGGGCGAGGCCAGAGGACAGGGATGCACAAACTCAGAACACACACCCGTCTGTCCCCAATCTGTCTCCGCATCCTGTAGGCAAGAAGCAAAGATGTCCTAAATTCAGCCTAACAAATGCCAATGGCTTAAACCCAAAGAAATGTTTTCTCAGCACCCCCATCCGACCTTACCCGCCAAGAAGTCAAAGAACTGACAGCATCATTCTAGTCCTGCATCCTGAGGGGAGAAGCTACCCTCGGGCAGCTTCCCCACCACCTCTAACAGGCAGAGTTCAGGAAGAGCAAGGGAAGATGGACGCTCCCAGGTAGGGCAAGACGCCCTAGCCTGGGTGTGCCTGTCACTAACTCACACGTCCCTTCATTCCTCTGGCTTTTGCTCCCTTACCCAGAAAATGAGGAGACGAGTAAATCAATTCAAGGTTGCTTTCCCCTGTCGCTGAGCAAGCCTGTCGCCGAGACAAAGAGGAGGATCCTTGTAGTTACAAAGGACTGGGGTCAGGGGGTCTGGTGGCTCCATCTATGTCCTGGCATCTGGAGGGGTGCTTGATTCCCTGCTTGGGAATGAGAAGAGGAAGCTGTGGAGCCCATCGTCCCAGTACCGGGGGCCATGGGAGCAATGTGAGGACAAAAGAAGGAAGAACAACTCTGTAGGGTTCCCCTCGGGAGGCAGGAACGGGAGGGTGAAGAGAACACCTGCCACCCAGAAAGGAGCAAGCACGTGGACCTGGAAATGAGGACCCCATGGTGAGGTGAGAAGTCCAACAGTAAAGCTGCTGCCTGTGGGCAGGTGGCATGATTCTGGGAGAAAATCAACCAGTCGGAAAGACTGTCATCATGGGGGTGGGGGGAAGCCACCCTTATGGTTGGAACCTCCCAGTGGGTGCAGAAGGAAGCCATCTTTTGGGGTATACAACCTACAACTGATGTAGTGGTCAAATCCACATGGGTAAGAACCACAGCCCAAGTGTGAGCAGGGAGAGGAGGGAGGGAACCTTGCTCGCTGGTAGACAACCCTCCCTGGAAGCCAGGCCAGGGCACACCTCAGAGTCCAGGAAGGAAGGAGAATGCAGAGAGGATCTTTGCACAAAGCACCTGACTGCCTCCTTTCCCCCAGCAAGATTCCCCGCAAGGCCTGTGGAACATTCCAGATGTCCAGTTCCCCTCGTTGGGAGGAAAGATAAAGGATGTTGGGAGGAAAGATGATAAAGGATGTCCCTAAAAGGCTACAAGCTCCTGGGCCTGATGTGTGGAAGCAGAGGGAGGTGGCAGCTGGGCTGGGCGGAGCAGGGGAGGGGCTGCAAAGGGGAGAGGGTGGCAGTGGCTGGGGCCTCAGGATCCAATTACACGGCTGTTTCCATACTTAGCCACCTGACAGCCGCTTGGAATCCTCGACACTCCGGCCACTGCAGCCCCATGGAGCCCAAATTAACTCAAGGGCAGACAAGGGCAGGGCCCAGCAGCACATGCGAAGCTGGAGCCCCCCACCTGGTCTCTAACTCCCGAGGTAATGGCTTCTGCTGCCGCTGCCATCTGCTCCCCTGGCTGGGACTGGGGCCTCAAAAAGCAGAACCTCAAAGATCAGAAAGGCTAGGGCTCTGGCCCCCATGGTTCCCTGTGCAGAAGAAGACTGCAGAGTCATAAAAAGACAAAGCAGAGTCCTGGATACATGGGGGGGTCCCCAGAGCACCCCAAAATATCCCCAAGGGAAACCCAGCCCCAGGAATCTTGGGAACAGAGAGGAGGCAAAATGCTCTGGTATCCCCTCCACGCCTATAAATAACCCCCATGCTGTAACCAGAGCCCTTATGCCACACAGTGCTGAGATGTCAAAGAAAAACCACGGCACATAGGCCCCCAGCCACTCCTAACAAAGCCTCAGCCAAGCCCAGTCCTACTCCAGAACACTCCTGTTCCTTTTCTGAACACAGTCCGATTCAGTCTCCAACCTAATTCTCAACTCTATGTCCAATCCCAACCCAAACTGACCCCCACTTCATTCCGCTGCTCCCCAGATGGCCCCCAACTCTGCCTGCTGTGGTCCTCTGTCCTCGATCATGCAAAGCCAGGCCCCCTGCCAGATCTCCAGCAGGGAAAAGGGTCAACTCAGTGATATCCAGGAGCCCCTCCTGCTCCAAGATAGGGTTCTCTTGTTTGTCTAAGAGGCTCCTCTAGTCTTGACTTTTGAGGTCCTCTTCCCCAGCACCTACTGGCCAGACCTTCTCTCTGGCCCCTAGCTCAGGCCTCACTCCCTCCTGTACCTCTCGGTTTACTCCTTCTGCTTCCTCTGGCCTCCCCGAGAAGCCCCTGAATGCTCTCAGGTTCTCTCCACACCCAGTTCTTTCTCCTGGACCCCAGGGGAGAAAGAATGGGTACAGGATGACACCAGCCATCAGCCCCAGGAATCACAGAGGCCTCATTCTCCAACCACTACCCGAGCCCCCCACACCACAGACAGAAGCAAAGTCTGGCTTGGCCCACAGGGGTGGGGTCATACCTGCTTGTCCTGGGAGCAGGAGCGACGCCACAAAGCAGCAGAGCAGAACCAGCGCCCTCATGGTGACTGCCAAGAGAGCCCAGCTGCTCCTCGCCTCTATTTATAGGGCTGGTGGCAGCGCGGGCGGGGAGAAGGGTCACACAGTCACTAGGGCAACTGGGCGGGCGTGATGGGGAAGCAGCGCCGACCCGACCCTGCGAGCTGAGAGGCTTGCTCTGCCCCTGCTATGCCAGCTGCCAGGCCCTAGAAGGCGGGGCCCATCTCTCCCCGAGTAGCCCTGGGGTCACATGATGTGGGTCACAGGCGGGGTAGCAGGGGGGAAAGTGGGAAGTCCCTTGAGTTAGGTCTGGGACCTGAGTCTTCCCAGTATTTGCACTAACCTGATCCAAAGTCTGCAGCAAGTCAATGACCTTGACATGTCTCAGTTTTCTGAACAAGGGAGTTTGTAGGGCCAAGCAACAAGGGCCCTATCTGAGAACCACAGACATATATTTCAGCCTCTCCCCTAAGGTCAGGAGAGTAAAGAAAGCCCTAAGTGGTTAAGGAAAACCCTCAATGTCTGACCTTTGAGGTCAGTGGCTAGGAGCTTAGCCTTCCCAGACCTCTGGAAGAGACAGAATGTAGATGGGGGGTGGGGAGCTAAGAGATGCCTCTGACGATGTGATGTAAGTCAGAGGGTGGAGAGACAGAGATCCATTTCCAGTGGCGCAGGGGTTCCAAAACCTTCTGTCACCTCCTCGATGTGCTATTTGATGCAATTTTCCTAAGGGCATGTGACAGCCAAAGAGCCAGTTCTATAAAGCCCAGGGAAAGCAGACACTGGCTTGTCTCGTCTGCGGGAGGGTGTCATTGTGAGGATAGCAGTCAGCACCTTGGAAAGGAACAAGAATCAATTAGGTATCTTCTGGGTGCTTTACTCTAAAACAGCTTTATTGACGTCTAATCAGATACAATCAAAATAACAGTTTCCTCACTCTCAAAGTTTCCTTTCGTCCCTTCCCTTTATCCCTAACCAGGCAACCACTGATCTTTGGTCACTGCTACTAGTTTGCATTTCCTAAATTTTTTATATAAATGGAATCTTGCCTGTATGATTCCTTTTTATCTGGCTTCTTTCACTCAGCACAATTATTTTGAGCTTTATTCATGTTGTAGCATGTATCAATACCGTTATTCTTAGTATTCCATTGTGTGGATATACAGCACATCCTCGAATAATGTTGTTTCATTCAACGTCATTTCCTTATAACGTTGATGAGAGATGCCACAGGAACTTAACTCTTGTTTATATCAATTAGCTTATGGTACTGGAATCCGATCCACGTGATAGAAGATGTCCTTTGGCTCTGCCGTTTCACAAGCAGGGCCTTCGGAAGACTGGCACCCTAAAGTCATTATATATAAACCAGAGGGGCTTCTCCTTCAATACCCCAGTCCGAATCAGGTCCCCAGTCTGCGAGAAAATACACCCCATCGTTTCTAGCCAGCTCCCCACCATGGCCGGGGCCTCTAATTAATTTCTTTATGTAATAAAATATCCAGTCAGTGTTCTCTCTCTCTCTCTCTCTCTCTCTCTCTTTCTCTCTCTCTCTCTCTCTGTCTCTCTCACACACACACACTCACACACACATACACACACACACACAGCCTATGGTAAAACTGGTTTCATTATGTCATTTCGCTTAAAGTCACAGAAACTATTGATAAGTAAGGACTTACTGTACCACAATCTGCTATCAATTCACATATTGAGAGACATTTAAGTTGTTTCCAAATTTTGGCTATTACCAATTAGCTGCTATAAACATTCATGTACAATTAAATGTATGAACATATGCTTTCATTTCTCTGGGGTAAATACCTTGGAGTGGAACAGTTGGGTCACATCGTGGGTGTCTCTTTAACTTTTTTTGAAGATGATTGTATCATTTTATGTTCCCACCACCAGTTCCTCCACATCCTTGCCTGCACTTGGTATGGTCAATCTTTCTTTTAAATTTTGGTCATTCTTATAGGTGTGTAGTGACGTCTCATTATGGTTTTAACTGGTGTCTTCCTATTACTGTTTCCATGTTCGTGTCATCCTCATCTTTGCTAACATTCCTGTGGAAAGCTTTTGTCCATTTTTTATGGGTTTTCTTTTACTGAGTTTAGAGAATTCTTATATATGCTGGTACAGCCTTTTTTCAGCCATATCTTTGTAAATATTTTCTCCCAGTTTGTCACTTGTCTTTTTATCCACTTAAGTGTCTTTCAAAGAGCAAAAATTCTTAATTTTTATCACATCCCATGTATCACTTGGTTCCTTTTTTTTTTTCATCCTCACCCGAGGATATTTTTCTGTTTATCATCAGATAGAGTGGCAGGGAGTAAGAGAAACATCAACATGAGAGAGACACATCGATTGGTTGCCTCCCACATGACCCCGACCAGGGCTGGGGACAAACTGCAACTGAGGTAAGTGTCCTTGGCCAGAATCGAACCTGTGACTCATTGGTCCACAGGCCGATGCGCTACCGCTGAGCCAAACTGGCCAGGGCTGTTTGTTCTTTTATGAATTATGCTTCTGGTGTCATACCTAAGAATTCCTTTTCTAATCCAAGGTCACAAGATTTCTTCCTGTTTTCTTCTAAAAGTATAATAGTTTTAGGTTTTACATTTAGACCCATTTTGTGCTATTTAAAAAAATATGTTGCAAAATATGGAACAAATGTAGATGTTTATATGTGGATGTCCAGCTGTTCCAGCACCATTTGTTGAAAAGACTGTTCTTTCTCCGCTGAATTGCCTTTGCTCCTTTTTCTGAAAATCAATTGACCAATGTGTGTGAATTGATTTCTAGACTACGTTCTGTTCCATTGATCTGTGTGTCTGTCCTTTCACTAAAACCACACTGTCTTGATCACCATGGCTTCCTACTACGTCTTGAAATCAGGTAGTGTGAATCCTTCGACTTTGATCTTCTTTTTCGAACTTATTTTAACTATTCTAGTTACTTTGCACTTCCATAAAAAGCCTCTTTGGGTTTTAACTGGCATTACAACTAACTTATAGATCAATTTATTTATTTCTATCCTCACACGAGGACATTTTTCCATTTTTTGTTCAGATAGAGTGGGAAGGAGAGAAAGGAAGAGAGAGAGAGAGAACATCGACGTGAAAGGGACACATTGAGTGTCTGCCACCCGCACAACCAACCAGGGCCGGGGACAAACTGCATCCGAGGTACGCGCCCTTAGTGGGAACCGAACCCGGGTCTCTGGACTGCAGGCTGATACTCTAACTGCTGAGCCAAATCAGCCAGGGCAACCTATAGATCAATTTGAAGAGCACTGACCAGTTACCAAATGGAACAGAACTTAGTCTAGAAATCAATTCACACACATTGGTCAATTGATTTTCAGAAAAAGGAGCAAAGGCAATTCAGCGGAGAAAGAACAGTCTTTTCAACAAATGGTGCTGGAACAGCTGGACATCCACATGTAAACATCTACATTTGTTCCATATTTTGCAACATATTTTTTTAAATAGCACAAAATGGGTCTAAATGTAAAACCTAAAACTATTATACTTTTAGAAGAAAACAGGAAGAAATCTTGTGACCTTGGATTAGAAAAGGAATTCTTAGGTATGACACCAGAAGCATAATTCATAAAAGAACAAACAGCCCTGGCCGGTTTGGCTCAGCAGTAGCGCGTCGGCCTGTGGACCAATGAGTCACAGGTTCGATTCTGGCCAAGGACACTTACCTCAGTTGCAGTTTGTCCCCGGCCCTGGTCGGGGTCGTGTGGGAGGCAACCAATCGATGTGTCTCTCTCATGTCGATGTTTCTCTTTCTCCCTCCCACTCTATCTGATGATAAACAGAAAAATATCCTCGGGTGAGGATTAAAAAAAAAAAAGAAGAACAAACTGATACATGGGATGTGATAAAAATCAAGAATTTTTGCTCTTTGAAAGACACGTCACCATTTCACAAAGAGAAGACCGAGGCTCAGAGAGCTGAAGGGACCACTTCGACATCACTGACAAGAAATGGAATCGCCTTCACTGGAATCCAGATCTGCCTGACTCACAAACCCATGACTTTTCCCAGCAGTCCAAGTGAACACTATCAGGCAAAAATAAGCAGCAGCATTTCAGGCAAAGGGATGAAGGACTGTGCGGAGGCATAGAGACAGAGAAACAGCACAGGCTGAAAGGTCAGAGAAAGCCACAGAACCCTGGTGAGCCCAACACTGCTTAAAGGGTTAAACGCATTTGATTTAAAGATACCTTGTTTGGTTCCCACTGAGGCGCACTCTACTTCCATATCAGGGAGAAGGGAAGAGGTGTTTTATTGAGGAGGTTCCAGACAAGACCATGGTTATAGGAAATCACTGGACATAGCTTTATGACAAGTAGGAGGAGGAGTACCAGCCGGCCACCCCTGGGCTTGGCATGTTCGTAGAGGTGAAAGACCCAGAAGACAAGGTCACTCTGGCCTGGTAGTATGGCTCTGAAAGCAGGTTCACTTTCACATCCCACACCCCTGAGGAGCATCAGATCTACCGTCACTCGAATTCCACCAAGTTCTCCCTTTTTGCTGGAGGCATGTTGAGAGTTCATCTGACATTCAGGTGGGTGAACACTGCAATGACTATGCAGAAATTTCTGCCAAAGACAAGTTGAGTGAGTTGCAGCTATCAGTGCAACAGCTGGTGGAGCAAGTGGAGCAGATCTAGAAAGAGCAAAACTACCAGCGGAGGTGAGAGGAGCGCTTCCGGCAGACCAGCCAGAGCACAACCAGCAGGTGCTCTCGTGGTCCATTCTGCAGACCCTCATCCTCGTAGCCATCAGTGTCTGGCACTTGTGACATCTCAAGAGCTTCTTTGAAGGCAAGAAGCTGGTGTAGGCATCCTTCCTCCCAGAATGGGGGAGAAGGAGCCTCCTGGAATGGATTCCTCTCTGGCAGGAGGACTGGTTCCCAGCCACGAATGATCTGGAAAGGAGAGGGGTCACACGCACCCCAGGGACAAGCTGAGGGGAGCAGCTCGGCTGGCTAACACAGAGCAGGTGGTGGGGCCAATGCCTGCCACCTCTCCTGGGCTCTGGCCTCTGCAGTAATCTCCTAGGGGCTGTTGAAGTTACTGGGAGCCCCACGGGCACCTCAGAATCTCAGCGATCAGGGATGTGAGGCTGTTGTCTGGGGTGGCTGAGGGGAGGAGAGTGGGTGGGCAAGCCAGTTTTCTCATTTTCTTCCTTTACTAACCTGGGATTTAGAGCAGGTTGGGGTGTAGCTGTGATTCCCTGCCACCCTGAGAACCTCACTGTTCCCTCCTTGGCCTAAACCTAACCTGCTGATCTGGCGGGGGTGGGGGGGAGTGTCAATTGAGGATGGGACAGAGGGAGTTACAATGTAGGAAAGTGGCCTAAGTTGACCCTGTGTTCTTCAAATGCTTGTCCTTTCTGGGGCTTAAGGAACTGGGGTCAGGAAAGCAGAGGTCTTGGTGCTGGCTGGGGATGGGGCCTGCAGAGCCTTAGTTACTGATTTCATTTTCAACAAGCCTAGGTTCATTGCATTGGTTGCCCAATTTTTTAAAAAATAGACCTCTAGCCCAGCTGGTATGGCTCAGTGGTTGAGTGTTGACCCACGCACCAAGAGGTCACCAGTTCGATTCCAGGTCAGGGCACGTGCCCAGGTTGTGGGCCAAATCCCCAGTGAGGGGCATGCAGAAGGTGGCCAATTGATGTTCTCTCTCATTGATATTTCCTTTTTTTTTTTATTTTAAATATGTTTTTATTGATATTTTAGAGAGAAAGACGGAAACATCGAAGTGAGAGAGAAACATGGATCGGTCACCTCCTGCACGCCCCCCGCTGGGAATTGAGCCTGCAACCCGGGCATGTGCCCAGACCAGGAATTGAACTGGGACCTCTCAGTCCAGGGGATGATGCTCAACCCACTGAGCCATACCGGCAGGGCTCTGATCGATATTTCTATTTCTCTCTCTCCCTCTCCCTTCCTCTCTCTCTAAAATTAATCAAGAAAAAAATTTCTTTTTAATAAAAATATAAAATTCTAATCCATGCTATGTGGATGAGCCTTGAGAATGTTATACTAAGTGAAAAACAGCCAGATATAAAAGGATAAGGTATTAGCTGGCTGAAGCTGTCATAACAAAATACCACAGATTGGAGGACTTAAACAACAGACATTTATCTTCTCACAGTTCTGAAGGCTGAAAGTCGAAGACCAAGGTGTGGGTAGGTTTGTTTTTTTCTGAGGCTGCTCTCCTTGGCTTGCAGAGGCCCACCTTCTCACTGTGTCCTGACATGTTCACCTCCCGGTCTGTATTACATGTCCTAAACTTCCTTTTTTTAAAAAAAATTTTCTGTATTGATTTTAGAAAGGCAGAAAAGGAGAGGGAGAGATAGAAACATTGATGAGAGAGAACATCGATTGGCCACCTCCTTCATGCCCCCCACTGGGGATTTGGCCCACAACCTGGGCATGTGCCCTGACTGGGAATCGAACCAGCGACCACTTGGTGCATGGGTCAACGCTCAACCACTGAGCCACAAGAGCCAGGCTGGATGAACTTTTTTTTTTCTTTTTTTGTACATGCCCCTAGGGGGAACTAAACCCAGGACTATCTGATCCACAGGCCGATGCTCCAACCGCTGAGCCAAACTAGCCAGGGCTCCTTTTTTTGTTTTTTATCCTCACCCGAGGACATTTTTCTATTTTTTGTTCAAATAGAGTGGGAGGGAGAGAGAGAAACATTGATGCAAAAGGGGCACATCGAGTGGTTGCCAGCCGCATGACCCAACCAGGGCCGGGGACAAACTGCAACCGAGGTACATGCCCTTAGCAGGAACCGAACCCGGGTCTCTCTGGAACACAGGCCAATGCTCTAACCGCTAATCCAAACTGGCCAGGGCTAAACTTCTCTTCTTTTATGGACACCAGTCATATCAGATTAGGACCCACCTATATGACCTCATTTCACCTTAATTCCCTCTGTGAAGCCGCTATCTCCCAACACAGTCACATTCTGAGGTTCTGGGGGTTAGGACTTCAACATATAGATTGGGGGCAGGTGACACAATTCAGCCTATAACAGACAAGTATGATATGATTTGATTTATAGGAGGTACCTAGAATAGGCAAATTCTTAGAAACAGAAAGTAGAATGGTGGTTGCCAGGGCCTAGGGGAAGGGGCACAGGAGTTATTATTTAATGGATACAGAGTTTTGATGCAGAATGATGAAACAGTTCTGGAGATGAATGTAAGTGGTGATGGTTGCACAACACTGTAAATATACTTAATGACACTGAATTGTACATTAAAAAAATGGTTAAAATCGTGAATTTTATGTTTTATATATATATATATATATTTTTTTTTTTTTTAACCATAATTTTTAAAAATGAATAAACAAGCTCTGGCCAGTTTGGCTCATCGGTCAGAGAGCCGGCCTGTGGACTGAAGGGTCACAGGTTCAATTCCCAGTCAAGGGCACATACCTGAATTGCAGGTTCAATCCCCAGCCCCAGCCAGGGTCATGCAAGAGGCAACCAATCAATGTGTCTCTTTCACATTGATGTTCCTCTCCGTCTCTCTTTCTCTCCCTCTCTCTCCCTCCCCCCTTTGCACTCTCTCTAAAAAAGTCAATGGCCCTGGCCAGTTTGGCTCATTGGTTAGTGTGTCGGCCCACGCACCAAAGAGTCATGGGTTCAATTCCGGTCAAGGGCAGTTTGGACCTGGACCTGGCCCTGGCCCTGGTTGGGTCGTGTGGGAGGCAACCAGTCAATGTGTCTCTCTCACGTCAATGTTTCTCTCTTTCTCTCCCTTTCCCTCTCTCTTCTGAAGATAAATAGAAAAATGTCCTCGGGTGAGGTGAGGATTAAAAATTTTTAAAAAGTCAATGAAAAAATATCCTCAGGTGAGGATTAACAAAAAAATAAAATAAACAAAAGGGAGAAAATGAAAGACATTTGTAATTCTGTCAGCAATAAAATAAAAACAATTTTAAATAAAAAGGAATAAACAAAGACTCTTTGGAAAATAAGAGAGACTAAAAATGAGGGTAGACTCAAATGAAGATGAACTCTGAGGTCATAAATTCTTAAACAGACCTCACTTAGCCTATGAAAGCTCCACACTGGTTTCATCCCACATCCCCCACACCACCATGCCAACTTCCCAGGGCAAAGACCTCCTCTTTCCCACAAACAGAAGCTGCCATACTTACCTGGCAAGAGAGAAACCATGATCGCGAAGGAGGTTTTCCCAGGGCGAGGCTTATCCACTGCACTCCGGATATGCTGACCTCTTCGATTTCCCCAAATGTGGGAAACATGACTGCATACTTTGTGGTAGTGGGGGACTGCATGCATGCTTAAATAAATAAATAAACAAACAAACAGAAGCTGCCAGAGTCCTCAGCCTAAGGGCCCTCACCCTCACATAGTTCCTATAGTTCGGTCCCTCTTTTGGCAACTGACTTGCTAGATTAATCCATGCCTGAAACAGTTCTCCAAGTGGCTGGGGAAATCAAGTGGGGCCCTGACGACGCAGGCCTCTGTCTGGATCTTCTCTACGCTTGACTCTAACGCAGTGCTACAAGTAGCTCTTTGGAAAGTATTTTCCCATTTACCTTGGCAATTATAGGTCACCTACCTTAGAAGGACCCAAATTCCCACCCTCGGCAGGAATCTCCTCCATGATATCCCTGACAGATAAGTACTCAGCCTCTGTTTGAATATCTTCAGTGACAGGGAACTCACTACCAGAGAACACCAACTCCACTGTTTTGAATGTAATGTGAAGTCTCAAACAAGCCACAGAGCTCCAGATCTACCCCCCCCCCCACCCCCCTACCCCCTCAACTTTCCTTCCACAGCCAGGGACATGCACCATGAGGATCCCGTGGGAAATGGAGACCATCTCTCCCTTAATGTCAAATACGCACTCACTCACTGACCCTCTGTGCCTGGCCAGACCCATTGACATTTCTGTCTACCTACAAAGGACAAAAGATTTCCATCAATTCTCTTTGCAACCGGAATTTTCAGAGCATCTTCTGTATCTCTCACAGGGCAAGAGGCAATGCTAGAGACACAAGTATCAACAAACTACTCTCTGGTATGTGTGCAGTTATCTGTAGCCTTCTCAAATCACTTTCCTGTTTCCTCTTTAATTTGATTCTCAGGCTGTCTACCAAGACAGGCCACACCCGGTGGGACCTGTGACTGGGGCCCCTTAAGTCAAGAAACTCTGCAGCTGTAACTCTTAGCTCCTTTTCAACACCAAGGGCGTGGAGGGGACAGCAGGTCTGGGAGCTCATTCCTTCATACAGCTATGAGATTCAGGGCTGGTCCTGCCCTGCAGCCCCCATCCTACCCCTCCTCCAGGTCAGCACGCACTCTTGTCAATCAACAGAAGAAACTTGCAACTTAGCAGGGCAGTAGAAGAGAGGGAACCAAGGCAGGGAATGGTGCTAACCCCACCTCAGCCCAGGACTTGTAGGGCACAGGAGGGCATACAGAACTCAAGAGTGAAAAAGACAAATGCCACAGGGATAGTAGCATCCAGGAAAGCACAGAGAGGCAGCTGGATAAAGAAGGGTCAGTGGAATGAACTCGAATGGGACAGGGTGGAGCCAGAGCCAACAAAAATATGAGGCTAAGAACTGTGTGGCCAGCCAGCTCCAAGAAGCAGCTGGAGGATTTGCATGTGCTTTACATACTGGCCTGAGGCCAGTTCATCAACCCTAAGGAGGCCAATGTCACAGAAAGGCTCTTCATTTCACTAGATGGCTCTTCAAACATCTCAGAGCCTAGGGCCATTACTCTACTGCCAAAGATGCCCCCACATCATGATACAAGCAACATTTTTTATTGTAACCTACCCCCATGCCACAAAAACATAAAGGTGTCCTCCAAGTACTCATAAAGTACAGCAAAAAAGGCAAAAATTGGAAGTAACAAGAAAACTGCACCAAAACAGGCACACAAAATGGAGCCATTCACAAGGCTGATACAAAAGCAAACAGCACTACATACAGAAGTCCCTCGCAAGTGTGTAACTTGATCACTTGCCAATTCAATATCCTTAAAATAAGAACAAACCAACTGCTTGGAAGAAGTGAAATAATTTCTGCTACCGAAACTATAGGAATTTCTTCTGAGACTCCTCTTAAAGAGGACACAGTGTAATGTAATCATCCTTGAGAACATGGAAGAAGACAGACATTTCCCATGAGTTTTATCTCTAACAGAGACCCTTCAAATAGTGCAAGGAGGCCACCAGGTACCAAGAATACCCAGCTCCCTCCCAAAGAAACCATTACCAAAGACAGTCAAAGGCACACTCTTAGATGTATCTTATCCTCCATTGCCAGGTTACTACCTCACACACTGGTGGCAGAGGGGAAATTGCCACAATCAATTTGGGGGATAATGTCCACTAAAATATATTCACAGTAGCCATATGTTGGAAAAAAAATAATTCCATCACTAGGTGAATGGCTAAACAAATAGTGGCATATTCATAAAGCAGAATACATTTAGCAATAAACATGAACAAACTGCTGATATACACAAAAATATAAATGAATCTCAGCAAAAGAAGCCAGACAAAAAGAGTATATAGCCCTGGCCAGTTTGGCTCAGAGGCTGGAGTGTCGGCCTGTGGACCAGAGAGTCCCAGGTTCGATTCTGGCCAAGGGCACGTACCTCAGTTGCAGTTATTCCCCGGCCTCAGTTGGGGTTGTGCAGGTGGGAACCAATCGATGTGTCTCTCTCACATCTCTCTCTCTCTCTCCCTCCCTTCCTCCCACTCTGTCTGAGGATAAATGTAAAAATATCCTCAGGTGAGGACTAAAAGTAAATAAATAAATAAATAAATAAATAAATAAATAAATAAATAAATAAATAAAAAGAATATATAGAGTTGACCCTTGAACAACATGGGTTTGAACTGTGCAGTCCACTTATACAAGGATTTTTTTCAATGAATACCATTGGCCTTCCATATCCTTGGATTCAACCAACCATATTCAATCCAAAAACAGTATTCGATCCAAGGATGGGAATCCATAGATGAAGCAGGCTGCCTATATGCATTGTTCTATACCATTTTATATAAGGGCCTTGAGTATCCTCAGATTTTGGTATCCATAGAAGGGGGTGTAGTTCCTAAAATCAATCCCCCATGGTTATCAAAGGATGACTGTAGTTAAGTTTTGGGGGAGTCAAAGGTTTACACAGATTTTGACTGCATGGAGGTTCAGTGCGACTAACCCCTCATGTTGTTAAAGGGTCAACTACGTACTGTATGAATTGTATAAACCTCTAAAAGAGACAAAACTATGCTGGCCAGTTTGGCTCAGTGGTAGAGCGTTGGCCTGAGGACCAATGAGTTGTGGGTTTGATTCCAGTCAAGGGCACGTACCTCGGTTACAGTCCCCAGCCCTGGTCAGGGTCGGGTGGAAGGTAACCAGTCAAAGTGTCCCTCTCAAATCGATGTTTCTCTCTCTCTTCCCTTCTCTCCCTCTCTCTCCCTCCCTCCCACTCTATCTGAAGATTAACAGAAAAATATCCTCAGGTGAGGATTAAAAAAATTAAATAAAAAATAAGAGACAAAACTAATCTATGATGATAAAAATTAAAACCACTGTACACCTATCAGAATGACTATTTTTAAAATAATCTGATAATATCAAGTGTTGGTGAGGATGCAGAGCAACTGAAATTCTCATACACTGTTGGTGCACTGTATGGTCTGGAACTATGTACACACATACATAAATGAGATCATGCAAAACTGGTAAAATTTTAAATAAGTCTCATGGACTGCACTAACAGCAATTACCTGTTTCCCATGACATCCTTCAGTTGTGCAAAATGTTGGCTTTGGGGGACGTTGGGTGAAGGGTGCACAGGACCTCCCAGAACATTTCTATTATTAGTCCCAACATTTTCAAAAAGTTTTATTGTTTTTTTATCCTCACCCGAGGATATTTTTTCCATTGATTTTAGAGACAGGGGAAGGGAGGAAGGGAGGGGAGAAAGAAAGAAACAACGAGCCCTGGCCAGTTTGGCTCAGCGGTTAGAGCGTCGGCCTGCGGTCCTGAGAGACCCGGGTTCGGTTTCCGCTAAGGGCATGTGCCTCGGTTGCAGTTTGTCCCTGGCCCTGGTCGGTTGTGCGGGTGGCAGCCACTCGATGTGTTCCTTTCACATCGATGTTTCTCTCTCTCTCTCTGTTCCTCTCTCTCCCTCCCACTCTACCTGAACAAAAAATGGAAAAATGTCCTCGAGTGAGGATAAAAAAAAAGAGAGAGAGAGAGAGAGAGAAACAACTATGCGAATTGGGTCCAGGACAGCATTAGGCCAGTTGCAGTCTATTAGTTCATTGTATGGGGTCCACATGGCTGTGGGCCATGTGGGCAAGTACAGGGGAGCCAGAAGAGTGCACCCTCTGCAACAAAAGTCCTAACAGTCTTGAAAACACAAGCGCAACCAAGAGAACCAGGAACCAAGAGAGGTAAACTTCTTTGTTTAAGAATTAAATATCTCAAATATTCCCATGCTTGCAGTGGCCACGCCTACTCTGGCCAAGGACCTGGTCCCAGGTGTGACTGACAGACAAGTACCTTCCCTATTTCACCTACACTTTACTAGGCATGCTCCGTTCTCCCCCTGTCCAGTCCCTTCCCCCAGCGATCTGCCAGGAACAGACCCAATGGCCCCTTAGGGAGTGTTAACTTGCAGCTTCCTGGCAAAGCTGCATAAATGGCATGCCAATAATATTTGGCCTTCCCTTTTGCTCCTTTCCTGTTATTAATAACTAGGTTAATTACAAAGGTGTCACAACTACAAAGAAGAAATCAACATGTAATTGACTAGAGTATATGTAAGCAATGGCTAAGCCTCCCTTGAAGGAGATAAAGCTTTGAATATGAATTCCCTATCTCCTTTACTTGCTTCAAGTAAATAAAACTACCTTGCAAACTAACCACCTCTCCTTTTTTACTATAACACCCTAAGCAGCAAACCCCTTGTTTGGTAACATTCCCACATCTTCTCCATTTCTTCCTCCTCCCAGGTCAGTGTCTACACTACTGCAGGGCACTGTGCACTTTCTGACCATGTGCTCCCGGGGACGGACCTTCGCCACTGCACCGAGGCCATCGCCAGCCCAGGCTCCTTGCAGTGGACCCATGGCGGAGGTGCGGTCAGGGCAAGACGCACACAGAGCACACGGCAAGAAAAAAGTATTTCCTGCGTAGTTTCTTACATTCCTCATGTGCGCTGAAACAATGTTTCAGATACTGAGGGTTAAAATTAATGTCCCATTTTATACCGCGGCCTGTGGACCGCCCTAAGTCACGTGTGCGGCGC